AGGTAGACTGGAAAGGAGACTGTTTTGAAAAGTCTCCCAATTACTTTAATATACAAATTAAGGTAAATTGAAATAAATAAATGAGCCTGAGTAGTCAATAAAATTTCATTCATTCATTCATTCATTCATTCATTCAGTACTTCCTGAGTAAACCTATTATGTGCCAGGTACTATTTACTAGTCTTTGAAGCACAGGATAACTTACTCCTAGGTGTGTTTTTTCCTCCTCTTCTATAAATCTGAAAATGAGACCTATAAACCAGGAAAAATAAATGATCCATTTACCTAGCATTCAAGTGATGTCATTTACTGGAAGACAAATCATCTTATCCTTTTAGACACTATTATATAAAGAACTACCTACCTTTTATCTTCAAAAAAGAATTACAGTGCACTACAGAGACTGTTTTTCCTCTAACCTGGGATTGTGTTGAGCATGCTCTGGTTTAGCGGTTCCAAACACTACTAAATATAATTTTGCATAAGACTCTATTTTTCTTCGTAGGACTTACTACTGTATAAAGTCCAATAGTATAGAGGTTGCAGGCACTGTTAACGTTGAACCAGGTAATTCTTTGTTGTGAGGTCTGTCTTGTGTTTTATAGGATGTTCGGCAGCCCTTGTGGCCTCTATCCACTAGATGCCAATAGCACTCCAACCCCAGCTGCAACCCAAAAGGTCTCCAGACACTGCCAAATGTCAGGAGAGGGGTGGACAAAAATGTCACCTGTTGAGAACCATTGCTCTAGAGGAATACCTCAGAAAGGGAGAATGGTTGTAGACAGAAGAGGAGACAAGATAAAACAAAGATCTCTCTTCCATAACATTAGATTTCTGCTTTAGTATACACTCAGGTGCATCCACCTCTTGATGTTACTGGTCTACCATCATTTTATTAAAAAAAATTTTTTTAACGTTTGTTTATTTTTGAGACAGAGAGAGACAGAGCATGAACGGGGGAGGGGCAGAGAGAGAGGGAGACACAGAATCAGAAGCAGGCTCCAGGCTCTGAGCCATCAGCCCAGAGCCCGACGCGGGGCTCGAACTCACGGACCGCGAGATCGTGACCCGGGCTGAAGTCGGATGCTTAACCGACTGAGCCACCCAGGCGACCCAACCATCATTTTAAATTCGAATGCCTTCTGGTCCTAAATCTAAAGGGAAGAGAAGAGAGGTTGTCCCATGAAAGCAATTCACAAAGAACACAAAGGAAACAATTCTGACTAATCTTCCCTCCATCTTCCACTTAAAAGAACTAAGGTCATCTTTTTCGTTAATTACCTAACCTAATCCCAGAAGTTTTGACAGATATTTGAGTACCTACAATGTGCCAGACATAGTTCTAGATATAAATTTGTCAACTGTATTTACTGAATTGATAAATCACTCTAATCAACAGCATTTTCTTCATGATCTTGAATTTGGCAAAGCATTCCTAGATAGCACACCCAAAACACAAGCAACAAAAGAAAAATAGGTAAGCTAGACTTTGTCAAAATAAAAACTTTTGTACTTCAAAGGACACCATCAAGGAAGTGAAAAGGAAGTCCGCAGAATAGGAGAAAATATGTGCATATGGTATATCTGATAAGAGACTTGAATCAAAAAGTAAAGGACACTTGCAACTCAATAATAAATGAATAACCCAAATAAAAAATGGGCAAAGGATATGAATAGACATTTCAAGGAAGATATACAAATGACCAAGAAGCACATAAAAAGATGCTCAACATCATTACTCATCACTGAAATTCAACTCAAAACCACAATGAGATACCTACTAAAATGGCTAGAATCACAAAGTCAGATAATAACAAATGTTGGCAAGGGCGTGGAGAAACCAGAACCCCCCAACACTGCTGGGGGTGGGGGGTGGGATATAAAATGGTGCAGTCACTTTGGAAAACAGTCTGGCAGTTCTTCAAACAATTAAACATAGAGTTACTACATGACCCAGCAATTCCCAGGAAAGAGAATTGAAAATATATGTTCACACAAACATTTGTATGTGAACATTTATAGCATCATTATTTACAATATCCAAAAGGTAGAAACAACCCCAATGCCCATTAATGGACAAACAGATGAACAAAATGTGATATAGTCATACAATGCAGTATTATTTGGCAATAAAAAGAAGGAACATGGATGAATCTTGAAAACGTTACGTTAAATGAAAGAAACCAATCACCAAAGACCACATACTATATGATTTCATTTATATAAAATGTCCAGAATAGGGAAATCTAGAGACAGAAATTAGTGATTACTTGGGGAGGGGAGGGGAGGGGGAGGAGGAGAATAGCTAAATGTATGGAGTTTCTTTAAAAATGATGAAAATGGGGGCGCCTGGGTGGCGCAGTCGGTTAAGCTTCCGACTTCAGCCAGGTCACGATCTCGCGGTCCGTGAGTTCGAGCCCCGCGTCAGGCTCTGGGCTGATGGCTCAGAGCCTGGAGCCTGTTTCCGATTCTGTGTCTCCCTCTCTCTCTGCCCCTCCCCCATTCATGCTCTGTCTCTCTCTGTCGCAAAAATAAATAAACGTTGAAAAAAAAAATTTAAAAAAAAAATGATGAAAATGTTCTAAAACTGACCGGGCTGATGGTTGCACTTATCTGTGAATATACTAAAAACCACTGGATTGTACATTCTTAAAAAAGTAAATTATATAGTATCTGAATTACATTTCAATAAGGTGTTTTATAAAAAAACAACAACCAGCATTTAAAGTACAATGGAAACATGACATTTGAACAACACTTTATTAACGACAATGTCTTATTTAAAATACTCTTGAATCTGGAGAGATCTCATTCTTTTGGTTGTGAAATGATTACTGAATGCTATTTAAACTACTGAAAATGCTCCAGGTAAACATTTTATTTGAGATTATAAAAAACTTAAAACGCAGGTATCACGAACGTCAGGGGACATAAAATACAGTGCTTGTTTACGATTTATTAGGGAGCATTAAGTAATTATATGCATGGGGTGGGAGCGGGAGGTAAGCAAGAAGAGTTAAAGAGATCATATGAAAGAAAAGCCTCAGTCTAGAAGACTCCCTTCTGTACCAGCCTGCAGTGATGCCGAAGAACACTCCCTATATACTGTAAATCTTATTTTTCAGGAAGCTCAAAATAATCACCCATATGATTTACTCCAGTAACAAATAGGAAGTCAAGTAAATACTAAAGTGCCAAACACAGAGATTTAAGGAATTAAATAAAAGGCTAAACCAGTTCCCAGGAATGGCTACTGGAAAGTTTCGGCTAAATTTTCAACCTGTGTCGTTTTCAGTCCAAATAAAGTCCGTTTCTGTGTCTGCCTTGTGTGATATACCAGTTAATCTATCCTATCTTACTGCACATCTCTTGGAATGTCCGGTCCCTAGAGTCCACAGTTTCTTGGATCTGAAGCATCACCAATGCCAGTGACAAGGAAATGCCAGCGGGGGGGGGGGGGGGCACATTAGAGATTTTTTTTTCATCCTTAATAAATCTCAGCTCCTGCCTTGGTCATTACAAACAGCTTGCCTCACCGTCAACCCGAGTCTCATACGGTACTGTGCCCAGTTTCAAACCAGAATGAGGGCTAATTGGGGTGGGGGGTGACACGGAGAAAAACGACCAAAGGCGGGATTAGCTTTTTCTACAGAGCCTCAGGTTTCAAAATGACTGCCTGAGAAGGTGAAATGACCCAAATTATTATTGGGGTGGGAGGAAGGAGGTAACAGACATTCATTCTCCTGCAGAGTGGCTGTGGCTTGGTGTGAAAATGCAGAACTTGGGGAGGGAGGGGGTTTCTACATGGAAAGAGAAACAACAGGGAACGGTCTTTAGGTACCACCCACCCCTCCAAGTGAATCACTGCAGTGTCAGCCCTGCACTGATCCCACGAATTGCCAAACAGGATGAGGTAAGGCACAAGCCTTGAGCCCCCCCTCCTCCTCCACCTACCCCCGCGCGCAGAAGGGCGCATCCCTCCGCGAGGTGCACCACGCAGCCCCCCGAGGCCTCAGCTGAGGGGCTGACGTCACCCTTCTGCATTGAGCTTCAAGGACTGGGAGCAGCACCGGTTAGGTGGGGAGTAGAGTTGGGGCGCTACTGCTGTCACCAAGTGGCAGGGGTCCTCCCCCAGGACTCTGCGGCTTGGGTACACGCAATGACCGAAAGACCAGATGAAGAGTGGAGGGGTGGAGGGGAGTGGGAAAAGGGTCATAAGACCCACCTCCTGGGTCTCTGAGAAAGCTTAAAGATGCCCCTAGTTTATGTAAGACCCTCTCAGGTCAGTGCGTCTCCGTGCGACTGCAGCGCCCTCTCCGCATCAGTGCGTTTGGGGGCCCTGGTCGCCCTTGCCCAGCCAGGCAGGCACAGGACTCCTGGCGCCTCCCTCCCTCAGCCCCGCGGGGCTGGGAATAACCGGGAATCTGGGATCAAACCCAGTACTCCCGCGCCCTCTCCCAGCCAGGTTAGCTCCCAGAGACACCGCGAACAGGATCGTAAGGGAGGCCGGGGAGGGATGTCCAGAGAGGAAAATAGAGGAATAAAGCCGCAACTTTCCCTAGAGGCTGACTCTATCCCGCAAGCTTAAAAAAATAAATCAGCGCATTAAAACAAATTTGGAAAGATCGACAACCTGCAGTCACCGCCACCACGCAGCCCCTTGCAGCCCGCGCCGGGCGGGGTCCAGGGTCCCAGCAGCCCCAAGCTTGCACCCCGACATCCTGCAGCCCCAACCCAGCCCCCTGAACCTATTTCCTTAAGCAGGGGACCGAGATTAGATTTTTGGTTTGGGTTTTTTCACCCCTCTTCCTTTCTCCGAGCATCACTATAAGGATGGACGGCCGGAGGCCCGGCCACCCGCCTGGCGTGGCCACTCACCCAGAAGACGAAGGAGTAGATGATGAGGAGGGTTTTGAGACAGGTTATCACAGGTTTGGTCTCCATTCTCCTCGATGCCATACTACAGAGCTCCGGCGGCGGCGGCGGCGGCGGGTGGCGGGCGGGCGCGCGGGAGGGGGGAGGAGGCGGGGCGGGGCGGGGCGGGGGCGCGTGCCGCGAGAGGCTCCGTGCACGCGCAGATGAGGCCGTGCGCGTGCGTGAGCGCGCATTCCGCGGGGCGCCCGTTTAAGGAGTTGGGCTGGCAGTGACTGCGCATGCTGAGAAGGCCGCCCGCGCGGGCAAGCCCGCGCAGGCTCAGACCCCCCCCCCGCCCCCCGAGGCGAAGAGCCGGGCAGGGCCGCGGGGAGGGAATGGAAGAGCCTGGGGGCGGGGTCGGAGGTCAACACAATCTCTTCCAGGCCACCGAGGCACGTAAGTTTCTGCTTTATGCACCGTAAGGCTTTTACATTTGCAGGGCTGTGTGCACCTGGCGACGCGAGCTTTATGGGTATCCCCGAAAAGCGGGCACGTTTCTGCATTTAGACACCCCACCAGGCCTTCTCGGATGGAAGTGGCCCAGTAGTCGTGTCCTTGGAACAAGCAAGCCTTGTCTGTGCCAGGAACAGACTGTGACAGGTGGCCGGAGTTACAGCTGGAGGGATGGTCAGGAACCTGGGAGCTCAGACACCCCAAAGACTGGCCACCGCAGGAGCGCCATTTTTTAGAGGTCACATTTTGAAATGATGCTGAATGGCATGTTTCTGTACGAAGGTACCATTCTTCCTGCACATAAAATGTTTAGCAGATAACAGAAAAAAATGTTTAAAATGCCTGAGAACCATTTTTCCCACCCTAACAAGTCCAACAAACCACCTCACACCCAGGAAAGAGAGCTGTATCAAGGTCAAAAAAATAATGTTCAAAAACAATTTGGAACTTCCTCAAAAAGCTAAGCATAAGAGATACTGTGTGACCAAGCAATTCTACCCCTAGATATGTACCCAAAAGGTATGAAAACATGATCATAGCACTATTTATTGTAACCCCAAAGCAGAAACAACTTGAATGTTCATCAGTTATGCATGGATAAGCATACTGTCGTAAATCCATACAATGGAAAATTATTTGGCCACAAAAAGGAATGAAGTACTGCTTATCTATGCTGCATGTATGAACCTTGAAAATCTGCTAAGTGAAATAAGCTAGACACAAAAGACCAGTGTTGAATAATCCATTTAGAGGCAAGGTCCATAATAGATCCAGAGAGACAGAAATGGAGGTTGCAGGGGGAGGGGCTGCAGGAATGAAGAGTGACTGTTAATGAGTAGGGGGTTTCTTTTTGGAGGGACGGAAATATTATGGAATTAGTGGTGATGGTTGCACAATTTTGTGAACATACTAAAACCCACTGAATTGTACCCTCAGAAGGGTGGCTTTTATGACATGTGAATTATACCCCAATAAAAAAATAATGTACACTCCACCCTGATTTCCTGTGGCTGGTTTGTAGAGGAACACACAGTACAGATTCTGTGGGAGATTTAGCCTGATTCCTGAGAGATTCTGCGGTCAAAATAGCAACACTAGCTCAGGCTAACTCTACCGTGGATAATGTTAAGGACACCTTTTGTGAAAGAGTAAAAAAGCAGTCAGTAGGCTTGAGGAAAGCCGGCCAAGGTCAGTTGTTGCAGGAATAATTATTACCTCCAGTAAGTTGAACATGGTCTGAGGTCAGTGAGGTCATTGTATAAACAGGACTCAAACAGGAGGAAGAGGAGAACCTGCTTAAGGAAATGATCAACCATAACAAAAGGATATGTTGGCATAGAGGGGAGTGGAGAGGGATATGGGTTCAGGTGAAAAAAAAAGATTAGGAGCAGATTGGCAAAGTTTGTGTTATAAAGGCAGTTCCCGCACAATTATTCTCCACGCTGGTTACTCATTTGCATCACCTGGAGAGCTTATTTTTAAAAAAGCAAAGCAAAACACTGACTGCCTGTGCCCAATCCCAGGTGGCCTGAATCCTTTGCTGTGGGGTGAGGTCTCAGGTGGTCCTGATAGGAATCAAGAGTTGAGGGATACTGTCCTTATTGCAATGGCCTTTAGCCAACTTCAGAAAGCTTTCTCCTACATGTTTACAGTCCCCAGGCAGCAGCAGGAAAAGGAGAGTGAACACTTCAAGCCCCGTGGCCACCCTTAGCCTCAAAAGGTCTTGCCCATGCCTAATTACTCTGTAACGGAGTCAGAAATCTCAGTTTTCAACCTAACAGGGACACTGCTGAGCATCATAGATAATTTCATGAGTTAACGCGTGATATTCCCAGACGGCGTCCATCAGGTCAACGATTTCCGTTTTGAGCGTTCTAGGGATACCTTTTAGGTCCAGATTCTTGAAAATGTGGACTGTTCCAGCAAAAACAAATTAAAAGTAAATATTCAATAATGATATTCAATAATGTAATTCTTGGGTAAATTAACCTAGCTGATAGCTAAATCCTTGCTACTCAAATTATGGTCTGGGTGATACAATAAGGGGACAAACTATCCTAGTTTTCCCAGGACTGAGGGGTTTCCTTGCACTCGGGGTTTTCATTGTTAAAGCCAGGAAAGTCTTTGTCAAACCAGAAAAAGTTGGTCACCCTGCCCTTGAACTAGTGGCACTGGCATCTGCTGGGAGAGCTTGTTGAAAATGCCGAACCTTAGGCCCCACACAAAGCCCATGTTGACAAGATCCCTAGGAGATTCAGATGCACAGTAATTTCCGTCAGTTTGTCATGGATTGAACTGTGTCCCCCAAAAGGTATGTTGAAGTTCTACCTTAACTACCTCAGAATGGGACCCTACTTGGAACTAGGGTTGTTGCAGGTGCAATTATTTAAGATGAGGTCATACTGGAGGAGGGTCAGCCTTTATTCCAGTATGACTGGTGTCCTTAAAAGAAGAAGACACGCGAGGAGGGGTCCGTGTGAAGACACAGAGACACACGTGGGAAGGGCATACGACCAGTTGGCATGATACAGCTGCAAGCCAGGGAACGCCAAGGAGTAGAAGAGGCAAGAAACAGTTTTACCCAGCCTCAGAGGGACCATGGCCCTGCTGACACTCTGATTTGAGACTTCTGGCCCCCAAAACTGTGAGACAATAAATTTGTGTCGTGTAAGCTGCCCATTTTGTGGTACTTTGTTAGCACAATCACAGGAAACTAGTAACATCTTAAGACTCACTGATCTCCAGTTGCTCAAAACAACCACAACCACCCTATCACCCAGCAATTTCACTGCCAGGTATGGACCCAAAAGAAATGAAAACAGGTGTTCAAACAGAAGCTTATACATGACTGTTCACGGCAGCACTAGTCACAACAGCTGAAAGGTGGAAACAGCCGAAACGTCTACCAGCTGACGAACAGATCAACAAAATGTGGTCGATCCATACCAGGGAATATTATTCAGCCATTAAAGAGAATGAGAACGACACTATAATGTAGATAAACCTTGAAAAGCTACTGAGTGAAAGAAGCGGCACACACAGCGCGCTTGCTGTGTTACTACATTTGTATGCACGATCCAGAACACGCCAGTGCATAGAGATAGAAAGCAGATTAGTGGCTGCCTGGGCTGGGGGCAGGGGCCATGGGAAATGACTGCTTAGCAGTTCCAGGGTTTCCTCTTGAGGTGATGAAAAAGTTCTGGAGCTAGACACCCCATCGTGAATGTACTCAATGCCACTGAATTGTACACTTTGAAATGGTTAAAATAGAGAACTTTATGTTATGTATATTTTATCACACAAATAACCACAGCAAGCCTGAAGGCTCTGAGGCCTGAAGGAATGCTGCATTTGGAGAGCTGACAGAGTCAGCAAGGCTCAATAGCAGGGGCAAAGACGGCATACGGGAGGCTGGAGAGAGGTCAGCCCATCCAGGCCCCAGTAGATAATAATAAGAATTTTAATATTTTGCCTGAAGTAGGGGGAGCTTTTGAGTTTCATTTGCCTTAACTTCAGCAGTACTTCAAGGAGAACCGGACTGCCCACCAAGGCTCCTCCCTGGTCCCTGCTACCGTCACCCCCTTATTCTTTTGTTCACACAGCAACCAGAGTGAGCTTATTCAAACACAAGCCATATCATGTCACTCTCTTGCTTAGAACCCTCCAGTGGCTTCCCATCATTGTACAAAGAATCAAATTTCAGCCCTTTGCCCTGACTTAGTAAGCACACGTGAGCTGGCTGCGACATCCTCTCCTGTTAATTTCTCCCTCTACCCCTGTGCTTCAGCCTCTCTGGCCTTCTCTGTGTTCTTCAATCACACTTGGTTCCACCTGAAAGCCTTCATGCTGGTTGGTCCCATCATTAGAATGCTTTGCCCCCGTACTCTGAATGCTTGCTCCCTTCCTTCCTGCCATTCAGACCTAAGCATAGTCGTCACCTCGTCAGAAAGGCCATTTCAGATGAAAATAGCCACCCAGTCCTATATGTTCTAATCCCCTATGTGGCACTTACCTACCACGTTCTTATTCGCGTGTTTGTTCTGTTGTCTGCCTCCTCCACTAAGCTCCACATGGCAGGTTTTTTTTGTCTGTTGTATTCGCTGTTGCATCCCCACCACCTAGATGAAGTAGCAACTCAGAACGTGCTGACCAAATAGATGGCACACAGTAGTCACTCAGTAGATGATTGTTGACTGATCGAAGAAGGGTGGGATGTTTGAGATGGACCTTGAAGTGTGACTAAAATAATGGCGGTGATTGAGGAAAGGAGGAGATCCTTACAGGCTATGGCACAGCAGGAATAAAACAAAGCAGAACACGTAGAAGAGTGGTGAGGTTCGCCAGAGGACATAGAGTGGGAAAGGATGCAGAAATGTAGGGCTGCAGGGGAGGAGAGCCTTGCCCAGGCAAGTTACACTCTTGTGTAGGCAGTAGAGAGCATCGGAGGGGCTCTCAGTAGGAGTGACGTGACCTGACCAGCATTCAGGAAAGGAAATGGAGTTAGGAAGCAACTGCAGTCACCTGCCTGGGACTTGATATGGGCTAGACCTCGGCAAATGGCAGTGAGGCTGGAGGAGGTGCCAGAGCAGTGTGTCTCCACTCCGGCAGCAGGAAAATCTGCCGGAGAGCTCACAGACTCACAGATGCCTGGGCGCCGGCCCCCAGACATTCTGATTGACCCGGTCTGTGGTGGGGCCACGGCGATCAGTATTTTTTAAAAGCTCCATAGATGCTCTAGCTGGGATTGAAACCCCTGGCGTGGATAAAAGAACCTGCTTAAGAATACACAGCCTCGGGGCGCCTGGGTGGCTCAGTCCGTGAAGCGGCCGACTTCGGCTCAGGTCATGATCTCACGGTCCATGAGTTCGAGCCCCACGTTGGGCTCTGTGCTGACAGCTCAGAGCCTGGAGCCTGCTTCAGATTCTGTGTCTCCCTCTCTCTGACCCTCCCCTGTTCATGCTCTGTCTCTCCCTATCTCAAAAATAAATAAAAACGTTAAAAAAATTAAAAAAAAAGAATACACAGCCTCTAGGACCCAGTGGATTGGGGTAATGAAGGAAAAGGAGGGACAGAATACGACTTTTAGTTTCAGTAAACTTGGAGGGAAGCTTTTAAAATGTGTAATCCCCAAATATGGTACATCCAGGCAAGGGACTGGCTTACAGTTTTTACAAAGTATGTGTATGAAGAACTTGTGTAGTCACAAAGGGAAATTTTTTGTTCTAATAAGAAAAAGTCATCAAAAAATATATATGCAATATGACCTCAACTATGTAAGAACATATAGAAAAGAAATTAGAAGAAAATGTGTACAAATTGGTGTACCTGGCTGGCTCAGTTGGTAGAACGTGTAACTCTTAACCTTGGGGTTGTGAGTTCACCCCACCTTGGGCATAGAGATAACATTTAAAAATGTGTATAAAATTTTCACACCGGTAGATCTGGCCGGTGAGGTTATAAACGATTTTATTTCCTCTTTTTTGTATTTATTCTCTTTCTCAGAATTTTGAAATAATCATATATAATAGGAGGCCCTCCCAAAAGTTTAAAACACTAAGGTTGTAGGACTTAATAGGCAGAAAACCTTGAACTGTTTGAAAACTTGCTTAGATGAAATTTGAATGTATGTGCATTCATCTGAATTTCTTTTTAAAGATGTTTATTTTGAGAGAGAGAGAGCGAGCAAGCATGCATGGCATGTGCACGAACAGGGGAGAGGCAGAGTGAAAGAGAGAGAGAATCCTAACCCGGTCCACAGTCAGCATGGACCCCGACATGGGGCTTGATCTCTTGGTTGTGAAATTGGGACCTGAACTGAAATCAAGAGTCGGATGCTTACCTGACTGAGCCACCCAGGCACCCCCATTCATCTAAATTTCTATATTTATTAATATATCTCTGTGTTTCCAGGGTCCTTACCTGAACACCAAGATGACTTTCTCCCTGGGTATCAGAAATTTCTGCATGACTGAAACGGCACCTGTGAAAGGTATGTTTGCAAAAGCCACTCAGGAAAGCATGCACCCAAAGAGAGGAGAGATATGAAGTATGCCAATTTGGTTTAAGAAACCTTCATAAGCATCAGAGGGTTAGGTTTGTTCCGAGGACAGCTCGATAGGACGTGGAGGAGGATGTAGAATGAATCATGCTTTTTCCTTGAATGGATTTACCCCCAAGCCTGGGGAAGAAGCACATGTTAAAAAAAAAAAAAAAAAAAAAAAAAAAAAACGCTAAATGAGAAAAAAAAAGTTCATGAAGATACTGGGAGCATGAAGTTTTGCAGCCGATGTAGCCTGCTGCATGAAAACTTAGCAGGGACAAAGGGTACTGTTCTCATTTTGACAGACTAGCAGTTGAATATCTCAGAACATGGGGTGGAAACATAAGACATTCAGACAACCTCCTCAAATAGCACAAGCCAAAATGAAGGAAAAGGCCAATGCCATTTAGTAACAGGACTACATTGGTGAGACTAAAGTGGCAGCACAAGGTGGTAGCTGGGAAGACCAGATTTATAAATTCAAGTGCCACCTCCCTTCACACTGGGGACTTCCTGAATGTGTTGGGAGGAAATTGAGAGAGGTTGAAGTTCTTCGGTTTTGTTTTGTTTTCTTTTATGATTTTACCCTACAAAAATAAATAGATGTATAAAATACCACTAGAAGATTAGGAATTGCAAAATGCATTACTGGAATAGCAAAAAAAGAATACAACTCTTCATCAATAGTGTTTTGACATTCAGTCATTCATTCTACAAAATTTTTGAGCGCCTACCATTTGCCAGACACTTTTCTAAGCACTGGGGATATAGCTGTGACCAAGCCAAACCAGGTCCTTGTCCTCAGGGAGTATACTCTACTGGGGAAGGTGAACCATAAAATAAATTTTAGCATATCTATACTATAGAATTTTATGAGCTAGGTTTCTAATATTAAATATATTTAATCAAAATATAATACATAATATATACATATATATTGTATATACATGTATATATATAATACATCAAAATATAATACATAATATATAATTTTTAGTTATAAAAACAACTTGTAGGAGAGAATTATACACTCCTAAGTATAAAAATAAAATGTAGTAGAATGTTCACACAAAAAAATCAGGATGAGAATACATGACAATCTTTGAGCAGGGAGTTGTATTACAATGGAATTTCACCACTGAAAATGCTCACTTGATTTTTTTACAAGCAGTATTACATTTGTAGTAAAAAAATAAATTATTAAAACCAAACACTGTATAGCGGCTAAACCCTAGAAATGCTTTTTAAAAAATTGTTGTTGGGATCTCCTTTTTATCCTGTGGCTATTGGACATAGGGAAAGGCAGATAAAACTTTTGTGTATTTGGGGATACAATACAAAAATGTATAATTATGACATAAGAATAATCCCTTCATATCTCAACCAAATGGGAATACGTACTATTTCTTTCATTCATCTATAGATGGACATTTGTGTTGCTTCCATATTTGGGCTGTTGTAAATAATGCTGCAATAAACATAGGGGTGCATATATCTTTTTGAATTACTGTTTTCTTTTTCTTCAGGTAAATATTCAGTAGTGGAACTATTGAATTATATGGTAATTCTATTTTTAATTTTTGGGTGGAAGTTCCATACCGTTTTCCACCATGGCTGCACCAACTTGCATTCCCACCAGCAGTGCTCAAGGGTTCCTTTTCTCCACATCGTCACTCAAACCTGTTATATCTTGTCTTTTTGATACCAGCCATTTTGACTGGTATGAGGTGATAGTTCATTGTGGTTTTGATTTGCATTTCCCTGGTGATTAGTGACGTTGAGTATTTTTTCATGTGTCTGTTGGCCATCTGGATGTCTTGGTAAAAATGTCTATTCAGGTACTCTGCCCATTTTGTAACTGGATTGTTTTTTTGGTGTTGAGTTGTAGAAGCTCTTTGTGTATTTTGGATATTAATTCCTTATCAGATATATCATTTGCAGGTATCTTCTCCCATTCAGTAAGTTGCCTTTTCATTTTGTTGATGGCTTCCTTCACTGTGCGAAAGTTTTTTTTATTTTGGTGTAGTCCCAATAGACCTTTTTTGCTTTTATTTCCCTTGCCTGAGGAGACATATCTAGAAAAATGTTTCCAAGGACAATGTTAAAGACATTACTGTCTATGTTTTCTTTTATGAGTTTTATTATTTCAGATCTCACATTTAAGTCTTTAATGTATTTTGAGTTTATTTTTGTGTATGGTGTAAGAAAGTGGTCCAGTTTCATTCTTCAGCATGTAGCTGTCCAGTCTTCCCAACACTATTGATTGAAGAGAATGTCTTTTTCCCATTGTATATTTTTGCCTCCTTTGTCATAGATTAGTTGAACATATAGATGTGGATTTACTTCTGGGTTTTGTATTCTGCTCTGTTGATCTGTGTCTATTTTTGGGCCAGTACCATATTGTTTTATTATAGCCTTATAGTATATCTTGAAATTTGGGATTGTGATACCTCTAGCTTTGTTTTCCTTCCTCAAGATTGTTTTGGCTATTTTTTTTTTTTTGTGGTTCTGTACAAATTTTGAGGTTATTCTATTTCTGTGAAAAAATACTATTAGTATTTTAATAGGGATTGCTTTGAATCTATAGATTACTTTGGATAGTACAGACATTTTAATAATATTTTTCCAATCCCTGAGCATGATTTATCTTTCCATTTGTTTGCATCAGCTTCACTTTCTTTCACCAGTGTTTTATAGTTTTTAGAACACAAGTCTTTCACCTCCTTGGTTAAGTTTATTCCTGGGTATTTTATTCTTTTTGGTGAAATTGTAAAGGGAATTGTTTTATTAATTCCTCTTTCTGCTACTTCATTATTAGTGTATAGAAATGCAACAGATTTATGTGTATTAATTTTGTATACTAAAACTTTACTGAATTTATTCTACTAGTTTTTTACTGGGGTCTTTGGGGTTTTCTATGTCATCTGCTAATAGTGGCAATTTTACTTCCTCCTCACCAATTTGGATGGCTTTTATTTCTTTTTCTTGTCTAATTGCTGTGACTAGGAATTCGAGTACTATGTTAAATAGCAGTGGTGAGAGCGGACATCCTTGTTTTGTTCCTGATTTTAGAGGAAAAGCCCTCGGTTTTTTTCATCATTGTGTGTGATGCTAGCTGTGGATTTTCATGTATGGCCTCTAGTAAGTTGAGGTATGTACCTGGTAAACCCACTTGTTTATCATGAATGGATGTTGGATTTTGACAAACGCATTCTCTGCGTCTGTTGAGATGATCACATGATTTTTATCCTTCCTTCAGTTAATGTGGTATTCACATTGATTGATTTGCAGATGAACTATCCATGCATCCCCTGGAATAAATCCCACTTGATTGTGGTGATTCTTTTAATGTATTGTTGAATACGGTGTACTAATATTTTGTGGAGAAGTTTTATATCTATGTTCATCAGAGATATTGGCCTATAGTTTTCTCTTTTTTGTATTGTCTTTGGTTTTGGCATCAGGGTAATGATGGCCTTGTAGAATATATTTGGAAGCTTCCTTCCTCTTCTATTTTTTGGAGTAATTTGAGGAGAATAGGTAGTGCCTCTTTTTTAAATGTTTGGTAGAATTCACCTGTGAATCCATCTGGTCCCAGAATTCTGTTTGTTGGGAGGTTTTTGATTACTGATTCAATTTCATTGCTAGAAATTGATCAGTTCAGATTTTCTGCTTCTTGCTGATTAAATTTTAGAAGATTGTGTGTTTCTAGGAATATATCCATTCCTTCTAGATTGTCCAATTTGCTGGCATACACTTTTTCATAGTAGTTTCTTATAATCCTTTGGATTTTTGTGCTACCAGTTGTTAGTTCTCCTCTTTCATTTCTGATTTTATTTATTTTTGTCCTTTCTTTTTCTTGACAAATCTGATTAAAGTTTTGTTTATCTCTTCAGAGAATCAGCTTTTGGTTTCATTGATCTTTTTTATTTTTACTTTTTTAGTCTCTATTTCATTTATTTCCACTCTGATCTTTATTACTGTCTTCCTTCTACTAACTTTGGTCTTTGTTCTTTTTCTAGTTCCTTTCAGTGTAAGGTTACATTGTTTGAGATTTTTCTTGTTTCTTGAGGTAAGCTTATATTGCTATGATTTCTCTCCTAGAACTACTTTTGCTGTATACTGAAGATTTTGGACTGTTGTGTTTTCATTTTCATTTGTCTCCATGTATTTTTTTTAATTTTCTCTTTGATTTCTTCATTGACCCATTGGTTGTCTAGTAACATGTTTAGCCTCCACATGTTTTTGTTTTTTCCAGTTTTTTCTTGTAATTGATTTCTAGTTTCATATTGTTGTGGTTGTAAAAAATGTGTGATGTGATTTCAGTCCTCTTAAATTTATTGAGACTTGTTTTGTGGCCTAACATGTGATCTGTCCTGGAGAATGTTTTATGTGCACTTTTCATTGCATTAGTAAGGTTATGGACTGCTGAGTTTCTACTCAGTGATGGCCGCATCTCCTAAAGAAGCAGCAATAGTACCTCTCACAGGTCAGCATTAAGTGTGAGCTTGTGGGCTTCAGCCCAAGAGTGGAAGCAGCTTTCTGGTCTCTAGGTAGGACACACTGTGATCAGTTGTTTGCAGATCTGGCCAGAATTCTTTCTCTCCCTGTTTCCATACCCTATTGCCATGTGATTTTGAAACTCCTCCCATAAAAAGTGGAATCTGTTTCTCTACTCTTTGAATCTGGGCTGGCCTTGTTTCTTACTTTGAACAATAGAATGCAGAGAAAATGGCATTATGATAGTCCCCAGCCTAGGCCTCATGGGAACTCACAGGCTTCTGCTTACTCTCTGGAGCCTCCTGACTGCTAATGGAATAAGCCCATGCTAGCCTGCCAGCGAATGAGAAACTATGTGTGTCAGAGTCTAGCCAGCCTTCTTGTCCCAGCTGAGGTCTCAAATATCTAAGGGAGCCCAGCCAAGGTCAGCAAAGCCAATGCACACTCAA